TGAGAGAGAGAGAATGAGAGACAGAGAGCACGAGAGGGAAGAGGGCAGAGGGAGAAGCAGACCCCCTGCTGAGCAGGGACCCCGATGTGGGACTCCATCCTGGGACTCCAGGATCATGACCTGAGCCGAAGGCAGTCGCTTAACCAACTGAGCCACCCAGGAGCCCTGTTGAAGAGAATTTTAAAGCTGGTCTTTAATACAAAGCTGATTTGTAGAGATAAGTGCCAGGTAAATACCAAGCTAAAGAAGCCACTATAATAACTGCCAACCGATACTTAAATCCTATCGAGGTTGTGGTACCATTCAACATACTATCAAATTCATTTTATTAAAATGTAATAGGGGTGCCTGGGTGGCACAGTCATTAAGTGTCCAACTTGGTTTTGACTCAGGTCATGATCTTAAGGTCATGAGATCAAGCCCCACGTGGGACTCTGCAGAATCTGCTTAAGATTCTCTCTCCCTCTCCCTCTCCCCCGGCTCCCCCATGCCGCGCTTGCACACCTATGCTCACGTGTGCTCTCTTTCTCACCAAAGAAATCTTTAAAAAAATGTAACACCTAAATCATTCTATTTGAAAACAGAGTGATAAAATGCTATTATATCCAATGAATGTTATAATCAATAAAATCAAAATATGGCTACTTTAAAGATGAAAGAGAACAAATGTCAAACTTAAAGCATAAGAAATATCATAAGCTGGGAAGGGAAGAATGAATCTTACAAGAAAAAAGTAAACATTAATTGTTTTTTAATGTCACTTTTTGAAACTGCCGTTTGTGCTGCTTCTTGCCTAAGGCCCAAACTTAAGCTCCAAGCTTCATAATTTCCTGTAGATTAGCCATTTAATAAATAAGTACACATACACAGACATGTTACAAACAGAAGTATTTACTGTGACAACTGACCTTAAAGGCTTGTGGGAAAAAAGATAACTTCTGAATCCCGAAGCCTCACTTCTGGACTTGTTGATTTCCCTACATAAAAACATACACCTCCCAAGATACTTATGGACAGCACCCAAAAATAGGAAACAAACCAACAAACATCAATCAATAGTGGATTTTTTTGTCATCGGTAGATGAAGAGCAAAATGGTGCTTCCACAGAAGAATATACTGAAATAGTTAAGTTCGTCACTAGTCTCAGTTTAAAACAAAAGCTCACCTGCAGGTGAGTAAGAAAGAACACGGCACGTGGCCAGCTGTTTGCACAGACGACTGACAGTGTCTCCATGTAATTAAACCCCAGGGAGTCTAGTTTAAGAGTAAGGTGAAGAACATAGGGATACACTAAGAAAGCTATGGTAGAACTTGTTCCCTAAAACGGACAAAAAGGAATCACAAAACACAAGAACAACAACACAACAATGCCGATATGAGCTCTTTATTCTACGTGTGACCTTGCCTAGTGACACCAAGCAGCAATGGGAGAAATATCCACCCCCCCCCCAAAAGGTGCAAGTCAGAATCTTCTGAAAGACTTGTGTACTTGGAAAAAGAATATTCAATGTATCTATTAGTTTTATATTGTAGACTATAAGTTTTAAAAAGCTGAACATTATTTAGGGCTGAGGGAAAAGTTTAGAATATGCAGTAAGAAAGCATTTGGGGAAGGGAGGGCAAGGAAAACCTTGAGATGTGACATTAGAACACACAGCTGCCTTCAGGGAGAGTTAAACCGAATTAAAGATGCAAACAGAAAAAGAAAGCTGGTCTTTTAATCATAACTGGCAAAAAAACCTCTCTGAACTAGGTGAAATCTAGGGTGGAATATCAATCATAGATTATTTCCACCGAAAGTTTTAGACCAGAATAATTTAAAAACATTAAAGACAAAAATAAAACCCAGCACTTCAAAATAAATGGCAGCATGAGAGGGAAGAAAATGGGCAGAAAGGAAAATCTAAGAGCTAATATTTGAGGGGCGCCTGGGTGGCTCAGTCGGTTAAGCATCCGACTCTTGATCTCAGCTCAGGTCTTGATCTCAGGGTGGTGAGGTTCAAGCCCCACACTGGGCTCCACACTGGGCATGGAGCCTACTTAAAAAACAAACAAACAAATAAAGCTAAGATCAAATATTTGAATACCAAACTTAACTCATAGTCACAAAAAGAATGTACATTCATTTTAGAAAACTTGGAAATACTACAGTTGACTCACCTCTCGAGTAGCTAGCTGGTTGCTGAGTTCCTCAGCCTTCTCAATGTTCCACTCTTCCACAGCCTGGTCTATGCTCTTTTCAAGGCCTGACTAGAAAGCAAAGAAACCTAAAGCTTAAAAGCAGGAAAAAAAGGCAAACATTTGCTGGCAAAGACTATGTCACAGGTCTACACCGAACACGTTATATACGTAAATCATTTATTTTTCACGATGACCCCTGTGGTAGTTGGTACCGCTCCAATTTACTGATGAGAAGGCCACACAGAGATACCAAATGGCTTATTCAAGGTCAGATAACTTCTTGAACTAAGATAAAGCAGATGCCAATACAGACTTTTAGGACTTCAAGGACTAGGCTTTCCCTTAATAACAACATAATATTAATGATAACAACAGTTAAAATGATGGCATGCTTATTATGTAGTAGACCCTAACTTACTACTATAAGAAAGCTCATTTATCCTAACAACTTCACAAAATACTGTTATCCTGTTTTTGAACATGAGGAAACCAAGGCCTCAGACTCACTAACGTGGCCAAGGTCAGAGTCTGGAAGGGGTAATGCCATCACAGGACTCTGGGTTTGCCCAGAGCCTGTGCTCTCAACCACTGTTTTCCTCTGCCTCCTTTCTCTACTGCCCCTTCCTGTAGCTTGAGGCCCTCCTTCAACAGCCCCTCTAGTCTTTGACGACGGGTATTAAGTTGGATATTAAATAGGGGAAGAATGTTACATAAGAGAACAAATTTTATTTTCCTATGGAAATGTTTTTATTTACTAGGTGAAGATGCTTCAGGAAATCATAATTAAAATTTTCATGCGATTACCAAACAGATGAGGTAGGATTCATCATACATTTATGGAAAGATGCTTAGACTTAAATAATTGAGGTTAGCTTGTGGAAACAGTTACCACAGAAAAATAAAAAAAATATTTAAATGGTCTAATGTATGCGTCTCACAAGAAAGTTTTGCCCTAACAATGGCTTAGCCAGTGTGTCCTCCGTGTTTTCAGTTCCCAATTTCTCCCTCATCTAGTAAAAGGGACCCTAAGAATGCCTCTGCCTGTCAGTGCACTGCTTGATTATACCCATTAACCAAGAGAAATTTTGTTCTTGAGCAGCCTCTGTGGAAACAAGGCTTAAAAATGCCTATTTACACACACACACACACACACACACACACACACACACACGGAATACTAGTCAGCCATCAAAAAGAATGAAATCTTGCCATTTGCAATGATGTGGATGGAGCCACAGTGTATTATAAGTCAAAGTAAGACAAATACCATATGATTTCATTCATATGTGGAATTTAAGAAAACACATGAGGAGCACCTGGGTGACACAGTGAGTTGAGCATCCAACTCTGGATTTTGGCTCAAGTCATGATCTTAAGGTCTTAAGATCGAGCCCCATGTCAGGCTCCTCGCTGGGCGGGGAATCTGCTTGGGATTCTCTCCCAACACCCCCTGCTCACTCACACCCTCTCTCTCAAGTAAATAAAACTTAGAAACAACAACAACAAAACAGATGAACATATGGGATTGGGCGGGGGGGTGTGAAACAAAGAGGGAAACAAACCATAAAAGACTCTTAATGATAGAGAACAAGCTGAGGGTTGATGGAGGGAGGTGGGTAGGGGATGGGCTAAATGGGTGATGGGTCTTAAGGAGGAGGGCACTTGTTATGATGAGCACTGGATGTTATATGTAAGTGATGAATCACTAAATTCTACTCCTGAAATCAATATTATACTACATGTTAACTAAAGAATTTAAATAAAAATTTGAAAAGAAAAAAAAATGCCCACACATAATCTGCTCAAAAAGATTACAGAACACAGACCAGTAAGGTTATCACTAGAGTCCCTGTTGAGTGAACATCATCCCTTCTCACAACCCCTCATCCCACCTAAGGACTTGATAGGATGACACACTTATCATCCTTGCTCCCAACTGTAGCTTGAGACCATCATTCAGTAGGCCTTAGTCTCTGATCCTAGGCCATGTGGCTCTCCTGTCCTCTTCCCATTCTGGTCCTGTGATCACCGATCAGCGTCCAGAAATTCTTTTTTGGGGGCGCCCGGGTGGCTCAGTCAGTTAAGCAGATGCTTAACTGCTTTGGTTCAGGTCATGATCCCGGGGTCCTGGGATCGAGCCCCACGTCAGGCTCCCCACTCAGCAGGGAATCTGCTTCTCCCTTTCCCACTGCCTCTCCCCCAGTTTGTGCTTTCTCTCTTGCTCACTCTCTCTCAAATAAATAAATAAAATCTTAAAAAAAAAAATTATTTTTTGTATTTCTGAAGAACTCTTCTCACTGTCCAAAAAATATCCTGGACTCACTTTCCCAACATCCTTCATCCTCAGGGACCTCTAACTAATACCCCACCCCAGAGTCCATACTCTAGGCCAGTGACACTCCAAGTATGGTCTGTGCACCTGTTCAGGTCTGTGAACGGAGCCAGTCTATGAACTGAGCTTGTGCCAGAATGCAAATCAACTATGTGACTATACCCAGCTACATGACTATACACAACTTTGACCTTTTTTTTTTTTTTTTTAGGGGAGAAGGACAACAAGACTTTCTCAAATCAGGAAGTAGTACACTGAGCTATATTCAGATACAAGCTCTGTATCTCTTGGAAGACCAATACTTTGAAAAGGCTTGCTCTGGGCCATGCAATAGACATTACCTGAAAGCTCCAGTTCCAAAGCTTTTTAGAATCTGGAATTCTCTCTGAACTCAAGATTCTGTCCTTTGACTTATCCCAAGTTTCAGAGCCAGTGAACCTGCGCTGTCTTCATTTGTAACCCTGCCCTGGCACCACTGTATTTATTCTCAGAGTCCTTCAGTCCCTTCCTGGATTCTCCTAGCCTCCCTCTCTGGCCTGCCGCCCATGATTAACCTTTTCAAACTCTAAGCCAGGAGTTCTCAAAGTTTAAGGCTGGACCAGCAGCATGAGCACTACCTGAAAACTTGTGAGAAATACACATGCTCTGAATCAGAAACTGGGGTCGAGAGCCAGCAATCCGCTGATGCTAAGCAGGCCGGAAGTTTGAGAACCACTGACCTAAGCAATACCTTCAACTTCCTCCCACATCTTACCTTGTTTTGGCTATTCCCAAGCACTTGTTTCTACCAATTTCACATCTCACTCTTCCTTCTTCTCAGTAATGTACTCAGTCCTAGGGCTTCAATTACCTCTTATAAGCTGCTTTATAGATCTCTATCTAATTCGAAACATCTGACCTCTCAACTATACCAAGATCTCTATCTCCAGCTACTTGCTAGTTATCTTCATACTGAAGCCTTGCAAAAAGGTAGGGTCTCCAACTTCTTGTTGTGCCTAAAAATAAGCTCATCACTTCCTGCCCTGCTTCCCCTTCAGAGCTGACCACCCACTTGGTCACCCCAGACAGAATCCTGAGTGGTCTTCAATGCCTCCAATCCTTTGTTCTTATTTTAACTCTTTTTGTAGGGTGTCTCATGTCTCCTTTCTGGGCTTCTTCAAGGCCTCATCATCTCCTGTTTGGAAGATGATAACCTTCTCCAAACTAGTTTTCTATCTTTCTGAAGTAGAGATACCATGTCATTAGCCAGCTTGAAAACATGATCATTTCTTTATTCCTTTTGAATCGCACCCAAATCCCTTCACAATAGGTTCCCACAATGCTTTCTCAGCCCCATCTTGGGCAGTGCTGTACTTCCCAATCTCTGGTCACATTTACCATTCTCTTATTGTCCCCTGTGCATCTGATGTGTTTCTACTGGAAAAAATCTTAACCATCCTTGTACGTCCCAGGTCAAATGTTACCTTCCCTACCTCTGCAGGTTCACTCACCAGTATACACCCACTGACCCTGCTTCATTCTGCCCCATGCCCAGTACCGAAGTGCCTTCTACACTGCTCTCCCCATGCTGTGCTATCACTGCACTCCATGACTCTCTTCAGCACCTGTTGGTCTGTCTCACCTCCTGGGTTCCAGGCTCACCAAGGGCAGACCTGTATGTCACTGGCCTGGTGTGTCCCAGCACCTAGCCCAGTCTTCTCACACAGGAGGCACTCAGTCAGCCTCTGTTATGGAGTTAACGGTCACAGTGCAGTAATCCATGGTTGCATTAATACTGAAAGGGTCCCACCCAAATGAGGAACATTCATTACCTAACCACTGCTTTGACAAGTTCCCAAGAGAATTCCACAACAGTAATATTGGGGTAATAGTACCCCTATGATTAAACAAGAGCCACATTTTCTTGTACTTCTTGATGTATAAATCTTTCCCATTACTGGAATATGCATTTCTTTGAGGGCATGGAGAGTATCTTCTCCATCTTGGACTCCCAGAGCTTAGCACAGTCCTTGTCTCTAGAACTTTATTATTTGTTTTTACAATAGAAATAAAGCATTTTAGAAATGATAATAAATGGGCTCTCCTTCGGCACAGAATATTAGGTATTTCCTCAAACATATATGAAAATAAAATACTAACAGCAAACTTCAATTTTCCCTGAACCACCAATTCTGGGGGAGCCAGTTATATCAACCCAGACTTAATCTGTCCCAACCTTTCATTTCAGCAACCTGGTCACTAATGGCATCCATTCTCGGGCCTGCCAGCTGATTCCACATTAACAGCTCTATATGTTTCCCTCCAATTATGTAGGTTTCCTAAGATTAGTTAGACCTGGGTGCTGTACTACTTCACTCCAGGACCTAGAGTAATCACAGATGAGTAAAAAGGAATCCACTCTATTTTTACCACCAATACCCTAAATAAACCAGTGGTCTGCTTATCAGGTCATTTTGCTGCATCAACTTGTGAACTTACCTTTGGTTATCATGGAGCCACCATTTATAGTTAATGTCCCAAAGGTAGAAAACAAAAATATTCCCCTCTTCTAGAAACTTATATGAACTGCTGAGCTTATAAGTGTAATTTTCACTTAAAAAGAAGTCAGCTAGGGGTGCCTGGGTGGCTCAGTCAGTTAAGCGGCTGCCTTTGGCTCAGGTCATGATCCCAAGGTCCTGGGATCGAGCCCTACATTGGGCTCCTTCCTCAGCGGGGAGCCTGCTTCTCCCTCTCTGTC